TCTTTCTTTCTTTCTTTCTTTCTTTTCTTTCTTTCTTTCTTTTTCTTTCTTTCTTTCTTTCCTTCCTCCCCTCCTTTCTTTCCTCTCAGTCCATGTTGATTGGCCAACCAGAGATCCCAGGTCAAGCCTCACTTGGTCATTGTTCGAGCCCAGATTGACTCAGAGTGAATGTAAATAGCAATTGTTTCTGTTTTGGCCAGAAACCCGAATGGACTTTCTCTCCCAGATTGATTTTTTTTTTTTGACTAGGTAAAGAGGCCATTCTCTGCCTCATTTCTTACCTGGCCTTAATCACTGAATGGGCATTGATTCAGTCAAACTGAAACCTGTTAAAGACCTTGGCTTAAAAAAGGCCAAGGTCTCCCACTGCACCCAGAGCCATCTCCAGTTGTCCTGATCTATATCTTGCCATGGGACCCAAATGGCTCTGGAGGAAAATCAAGGCTGGTGATTTTGCACAGCCCTGCCTCACTTAAATACAATTCACTTGCATGTCTTGGCCTCACTTCCCTGTTATCAGGGTCCTCTTTAAGAATGAAGAACAAACAACAACATTTCCTTTGACTGTCTCCTGATCCTGCTCCCCCCCCTCCCACTCTCCCTCCCTGTCCTTTCCCATAGCATCACCATCCAGACTTACCTACCGTGGGCAGAGTCTCTTTCCCCAGACCTCAACTATCAACAACTGAGACTCATGTGGAACAAAACATTGACTAGGTTTGAAGAATATTTGAATTTCAGTTTTGTTTTGATTAAATAGTTTTAGAAATGAACATGCTTGGGTACAATTCAAACTGGCTCACTGGTATTAAAAAAAACCTTATATTGGATTTACGCTACTTTGTAGAAATTTAATATCTGGATTCAGAAAACACAAGAGAAACAACACAGCAGAGAGAGTTAGAGAGACAGTCTTGGAGTTATAAACACTTAACCTCAAATCCCACCCCTGACCCTGACTAGCTATGGCACCATAGGCCAGTCACTTGGCCTCAGTGCCTTAAGCAACTCTCAAGCTGTGGCTGCCTCCGAATTGGTAGGTGGAATTTTGTTTCTTACTGGGTTCATCTTCTTCCTTTCTCACTCTCTGGGGACCAAAACAGTGAAATTTATTCTGTGTTTGAGTTTAGTTACATTAAGATGTATTTGCTCTATGTAACATGCTCTCTGGGACCTGCCCCATGCCAGATGACAGTCTGCTCATCTGTCTGATGAAGGAACTCATGCTCTTGTGTGAATGTGTATGAATTGATATGTTATCCCCTCCCAGGTAACACGGGTAAATTCTATCAGTGGTTTTCTGGAGGTATGATACATCAATGTACAGCAATAACTAATAATGAGAATATTTGAGATCCTAGTACACTGAGAGATGGGGAAAAGGGAGGGAGATGTGTTTTGGTCAGAGAGGTCTTCCTGTGGCCTCAAAAGACAAATAAATAGATTATCCCTGCTTTTCACATTGTCTTTTGGCAAGACTGCTTATTATACCACTGATGTGGTTCATGGCATCCATAAGGCACAGAGACCACCACTAGGAAAATGAATCACCTGGTTCTATCAATGACTGCATCTATTTCTCTCCAGTGTCTTGGTTCCATCGCTAAGTGTTGTGGGGAATAGGGAAAGAACTCTTGTCAGAAGGGACATCCTAGGCTACTCTAGCCCTGGAATCTCCCCTGGGGAGGATCTTGAGAATAGGCAGATGCTGGATTTAAGACAGGAAGAATAGTATAGGAGTCCTTTTGATGGGTGGAAGAATATCACAGGAAGCTCTGGGCTGACTCAGTGTGAGTCACAGGAAAATACTGTGTAGCAGACAGAATAGGCGAGGTTAAAATTGGGTCAGGTTTGGCCACCAAATTTCCCTGGATTCTATCCTTTTCACATTTCAAGCTGAAGTCACTCATGGGGTCAGGAAATGAAAGTCTTAGCCTTCCCACTAATAGAAGCTATTTGCCGGCAATGCCTTCTCTCTGGGATTCCCCCTCCTTCCCCTCCAAATTCTTAAGACCCACAATTTGACTGGGAAAAAATAAATCACACAATGGAGAGGTCTCACATAACCCAAGTATTATAGCTAGCCCAAAAAGACAAGTATGACAGACAGATCCCTTCCCATGTAAAGAATCCAAATTCCAACTATAGCTTATACTGGGAACAAAGCCCATCCCTCTTGGGGTTTCCCTGCACCAATATAAGGGTCATTCCATACCATCCCATGTATCCCTGGCTCCTCTATTTGCCAGATGATGCCCCAGTAGTCCTGGGCATCTCCTCTATCATGCAGCCTTTGTCCAGATCCAAGACCATGGCCCAGCAAGTTTCCTGGATTTTCAACCCCAGATCGAGTGGCTACCCAGAAAAAGAGCTAGTGACTGTGGAGTGATGCAGTCCAACATATCTAGAATAAAGGGAAGTGTAAGAAGAAACCTGAAGTAGAGACGGGTAGAGAAGAACCTAGACCATCCCATAGTGGTGAGCTTTTGTTATTCTCTTCGTCACAAACCTTTAAATAACTGGGGTAATCCAGAGAGAGGCTGGATTTTAGCAGAGAAAGGGAAGTGAGCTATGACACTCACAGAGGTTAGCAGATTAATGCTCTCCCTTCAACCTCTGACAGATACACATGGAAAAGCTTTAAAATGCAGGAGGGCTGGGGCTCCATAGCTATTGTTGCAATACTGGCCTTCTGTCCTGTTCCCTCCCTGTGGCAGCTCCTCCTGCCTGGGTTGTCCCTAGCAACAGATTTGGCTCCTCAAACAGATCACATCTCTGCTGGGGATAGCAGCTTTTGCCTTCTTTTCTCCCTTTCCCCACTGACATGGCTGCTGTCATAAGTCAACAGAACTGAAGGTCTGGGGCCTTCCTTTCCCCATGCCAAGCGACCTAAGGACCACTGTAGATCTGTCTTTTGTCATTCCAAATAAATACAACCTACACAGACTGGGGGAGGGCAAGGTGGCAGAAGGTGGGCTACCACCACCTCTACCATTACCACCAACACCTTATATTTATGTTGCATTTTATAGCTGTCAAAAGGCTTTCATGCACACATTATCTCATTTAATTCTTAAAACACATTTGTGAGTCAGGCCAGGCAAAAGGATTTGGTGCTGGAACAGATTTTAGACATTGCCTGGTCTAATCTCTTAAATTTATAAGCTTGGGTTCTAGTCTTTTCTCCTTTGTGAAACATTTTCTTATCTTGAAAATGAAAGATCAGAAGAGGGGATGATTGGATTAGAATCAGGGGTGGGGAATCTGAAGGCTGAAGATTCCCTTGAGGCCACATGTGGCCTTTTAGGTCCTTGCGTGTAGCCTTTTGACTGAGTCCAAGTTTTATACAAGTCATTTTATTAAGGGGATTTGTTCTGTGAAATTTGGATTCAGTCAAAGGACCTCACTTGAGGACTTAGAGGGCCACATCTGGCCTGGAGGCCTCAGGTTCCCCAGCCCTGGACTAGATCATCACGAAGGTCCCTTTCAGTTCGATGAAAGGAACTCTTCATAAGATTGTTGGTTGATTCCTCAAGTATTACTAAGGGGAAACGGGAACAATTCACAAAACTTCCTGTAAAGACAAAGCAGGTAGCCAGGCTCAAAAGCATACAATACACACACACACACACACACCCCATGCTTTTCACAATCCTAAACTATCCTAGTCCCAGGTTTTGTTGGATGCATTTTGACTCCAGGAGGACTCTCCCTCTGGACTTTTATACTCCAATATCACATAGTAAAGAGGTCCATAAGTCTATCTGTGAATGATGCTGAAATAGGAAAGATTCTCACCAGTACTGTCTCACTGACTCAGGCAAACGTTTTCTTATAGTTGATGAAGATTAGGAAGTCTATCTTACTTCTGATTCTTACTAGATGTGTGACCATGGACAAGTCCCTTAACTCTCAGACCCTCAGTTTCATCCTCTGTAAAATGGAGATAATACCTCTTGTGCCTACCTCTGAAAGCTGTTGTGAGGTTCAAATGAGATAATCAGAAGTCCTTTGCAAACTTCAAAATGTTATGTAAATGTCAGTTATGATTTTATTTTCCTTTCTATTTCTGACACCATCAATGATGTTCAAGAAATAAGACAGAAATGGAGAGGAGAAGGAGAGTTATCACAAGGGAAAGAGTGAAAATTAACCTCAAGGATTGATGTGGACAACTCTCTTTCTCTATCGTTAACCACTTCCCCTATAATTTGATAGGGCTGTCTCTGATAATGTCTGGATAGTGAAAGCAGACCCATGCTTCCCAAGGACTCGATGGGAATGAGGGTGAAGAAGCATCAACCTTGATGCTGCTAAACAGCGTTTAATTGACTGCTAGGCTGTTGGAGGTGCCAGAGATTCTTGGTAGGCCTAGGGATTTCCAGAAGATCATATTCATTTAAAGATAAAACTAGAGTTAGTAGTTAAAGCACTGTTTACACATTGTTACCCTTTCTAATTTCGTTTAAATCTATACACTTAAGTGCTATTTATTAATAATTTATTTGGTTTTAATATTAAGTCATTTGCACTTATCAGTACTTTCAAAATCCCTTGAACACAGAACAAATGAATAAGGGCACCAAGATTAGAGATACAGTAGGGGAAAGAAAGAAGGACATTACTAAAGCCATCTCCTGTACCTCTTGGGACTTGGGCAAATTTCGTCACCTTTCTGGGCCTCAGTTGCCTCATTTATCAGATGAACTTACTGGACTATGGGAACTCTAAGGGTCCTTCCAGCCCTAGCACACATGGATTCTTTGATAGTTCATTGCTCTTTTTTAGATTAAGGCATTTGGGTTTCATACTTAATGCACTATTGTTTGAACACTGCACAGAGTTAGGTATTCTAGTCCCAGCTTGGTCACTAATTAGCTGTGTGACTTTGGGTGAATTATTCAACTTCTTTGTGCATCATTTTCCTTATTTGGAAAAAGAAGAAGAGGAAGAAGAGGAAGAAGAAGAAGGGAAGGGGCAGGGGGAGGGGAAGGTAGAGGAAGAAGAGGAGGAGGAGGAGGGAGAGGAGAAGGATAGAAAGAGCGAAGGCGAGGGGGAGAGGAGAGAGAAGGAAAGATGAAGGAGGAGAAGGGGGAGGGGGAGGGGAAAGGGAGGGGGAGAAGGAGAAGGAAGAAGATGGGGAGGGGGATGGAGAAGGGGTGGAGAGGGAAGAAAAGAAGAAGAGAAGCAGGAGGAGAAGAATTAGAAAATGAAGAAAATGAATAGGAAGAAAAAGGAGGAGGAGGAAAAGGAGGAGGGGACCTGGAGGAAGAGGAGGAGGAAATTGGACTAAATGATCCCTAAAGTCCCTTGAAGTTTTATCATTCTGTGATTTTAATCTCATTCTAAGTGGAAAGTCTATAAAGCTACCACTTTAAGCACCCCCCCCCCAATGATTTCAACAAGAAAATTCCTTCTACCAATGCAGATCAGCAATTAGCCAGACTGGCATCTCTTCTCTAACTTGTCTTTGAGAGTTGCCTAGAACACTAAAAAGTTAAATGACTTGCCCATGGTTCCATAACTAGCATGTTATAAGAGGTAGGATTTGAACCTAGATCTTCCAGAGCCCTTAATTCACTACAGCAGGCTGCTTCTCTACCACTATTAGCAACAACCCCCCTAAGCTGACATTTTCCCTCTCAAACTTTCCCTAGATAGCTAACATTTATATAGTGCTTACTATGTACCAGGCACTGTGCTAAGTGCTTTATAATTATTATCACACTTGATCCTTAGGACAACCCTGGGAAGTAGGTGCCATTATTATCTCCATTTTACAGATGAGGAAACTGAGGCAGGCAGCGGTTAAGTGACTTGCCCAGGTCACATAGCTAGTATTTATTGAGGCTGGATTTGAACTTAGGTCTTCCTGACTCCAGGCCCAGCACTTCTAACACTGCTTCCTAAATCACTGGTTCCCTTTGGGCTAGGAGATGGGGCAGGAGATATCTGCTTCCGGCAGAGGGAAGTGTGGACACCAAAACCAGACCTAAGGCAATTTTACCTTGGTCTCCAGGCTGTGCTACTTTTCTGTGCTCAAAAATTGTTGGTGGGGGAGATTCGAATCCTTCTAACCCTCTCCAAAACTCCTTCTAATCCTCTATCTTCATCTCTCACCCAAAAACCAAAATAAGAACACACTAACGAACTGAACATTAACTCCAATAACCCAGTGTGCTGCCCTTCTTATATTTGAAGCCAACTACCTGTGGAATAGACAAGCTCCTTAAGGGTAGCGCCTGTTTTGTTATTTTTGACTAACACAATGCATTACACAAAGCATGCGCTTCAGCACCTGCCAAACTGAACTGCTGGTAACAACTATTTTTCCAATGATGGTGTTAGGTTTGTGCCAAGATGTTATGTTCCATTCCCCAGTACCCTTTGTGACTAACTTTATACCTTTGCTTAATGGCTTGCTAGAGCCTGGATATAGCCTGGAGTTACCTGTTCAAAACTTAGTCACTCACATGAGAATAGAATCAGTGGTTCCATTCCTAAAGCATAGGTCTGATGATCAGAACTTCTCTCCTCTCAATAAACTCCAGTGGCTCCCTATTACCTCCAGGATCAAAGAGAAAGTACTTTGGCTTTTAAAGTTCTTTATAATCTGGACCCTTCTTACCTTGTTTGTCTTCTTCATGCTCTCTGTGGCCTAGCCATTCTAACCCGCTTGTCATTTCTCACACATGACACTCTATATCCTATATATCTATACCTATATATCTATATATATCTATATCTATGCCTTTGCACCAGCTGTTTCCCTTGTTTGGAAAGCTCTTCCTCCCTCAACACCTGGCTTTCCTTAAGACTCACCCTAAGCATTACCTCCTCCAGAAGGCCATTCCTGGTCCTCTTCAGGTGATAATGCCATCCCTTCTAAGATTACTTGCATTTATCTTTTATGTTCCCATGTCTATATGTTGTGTCCCCCAATAAAACATAAGCTTCTTGATTTTTCTTTGTATCCTAAGCACATTGCCACATAGTAAGCACTTAATAAACGCTTATTGGTTGGTTGGCAGAGGTATGCTAAAAAACCAGAGAATGTTAGCACCGTACAAGTTATTAGAGGTCATCTAACATAAGCCCTTCATTTCCCAGATGAGGAAACTGAAGCTCAGAGAGGTATGATATTGAGAAAGTCACTTCGTGACACGTTAGTGATAAAATCAGGACTAGAACCCAGGTCTTCCAGTCTAGAGTGCTTTCTAATATATCAGGATGGTTTTGACTTCATTAGAATCATGCTCTGGCCAGATGTGGGCCTCTTCCTGATGAAAGACACCTGAGAAAAGATGTCACCAATCCACCAACATCTCTCCATCAAAGAGCTATGTCTCAGTTTAAGACCACTTTCAGAGTTTACAACCAACTTTGCTTAGCAGGAATATCTTATGCCTTGGAATCCCAAATCTTTGATCACTGTTCTTCACAGGTAAATTGACACCACTTGGCCAGTGATTTTCCACAGTGGCTCTGCCTCAATCCTCATGTGAAAAAAGAAAAAAAAATTTTCTTGACCTGAAGCATTAACCCAAAACTAGGCTTCCAAACAGCAGACTTGAGGTGGCATGTCTCTTTAGATACTTATGCTACACCTATGTAAGGATGAGAAGCCCCCAGCCTCGGATGCTTCTGATAATGCCAGCTGTCCTTTTAGGCATGAGGTTCTGTTATCCTATTCAATGTTAAGCATTCAGCTATGATCTTTTCCTAACCAGTTTTCCATATCAGTTGTTCTATCCTTTACTGTGTGTGTGTGTGTGTGTGTGTGTGTGTGTGTGTGTGTGTGTGGGAGGGTAGAGAGTGGTCTTCTTAGGTCTCACAATAACTCTATCATCAAAGAATATTTATCCAGAACTCATTTGCACATGTTAGGCACTTAGTGGGTGGCAAAGTGGATAGAGCCTGGAGTCAAGAAAATCTGAGTTCAAATCCAACCTCAGACACTTACTAGCTGTGTGACCCTGGGTAAGTCGATTAACTCTGTTTGCCTCAGTTTTCTCATCTCTAAAATGAGCTGGAGAAGGAAATGGCAAACTACTCCAGTATCTAGTCAAGAAAACTCCAAATGGGGTCATGAAGGGTCAGACACCATGACTGAAAAACGACTGAACAAGTCAAATTTAGTACAACACAGTTGAGACACAATGTTATCTGCTTTTGTAAGGTAATTTACCCTGGCCAAACTGTTAAGTGTAATTTATTTTGTGTCCATTTGTTCTTCCTTCCACTCCTGGACTCTTCCTTTCCTCATTTATTCCTCTTTTAGTAATCCAAACCCAGGTGATCAGGACACTTGTTCAGTTCTTTAGCTACCTTTCCCAACTTCTGCTCACTCCCAAAAGGACTTGCCCATATCTTATTCTGTAGGGACCTGGGCTAAAGAACCTAAAGAAATTCTAACTCTGCAAGGGGCCTCAAGGATCATTTAATCCAATCAAAGCATGACAACTCTCTATACCTCTTATCTCTACACTTTTCTATACCCCTTTATACCATTCTAAATCCCCTGTGGACCTCTGGACAAGAAGTCATCCAAGCTCGACTTATATGACAGGAAACTCTTCTCTTCTCTCTTCTTCATCCTCTCCCTCCCTCTCCACACCCCAGGTTGGCTTACAGAAAATTAATCTGATGAACTAATTCATGCTTGGAGGATGAGTTATGGGGCTTAATGTCTTATCACTTCCAATTCACATATGTGTATTTTAATAGGCCCTTTTGGAGGCAGAGTGCCTGAAACTCAAAGAAGATCTAAACTGTAAACATTTCAGACACTGGTGGAAAAGATATTCCTGAATAGGTGGGACCTCTCTCCCTCACTCAAATATCCGGTTACTCCTTTTATGCATGCATTTGGCTCAGGTTTCATAGCCTTTGGGTCTGTGAAGTTCAAGAACCCCCCTTTAGCTCGAGCTCAGAAAGAGTTCCACACTGACTCACCTTGGGCAGGTCTGTGGCCCCTCGGATCCCCTGTGCCACCTTCTCTCCATCGGGGTGAATCTTGGCCACGTGTTTCCACATCCTCTCCCAGGTGGCCTCATCCACGGGCAGCCCACCCCGGTTAACAAAGAAGGGGACCCCTCCATCTCGGAGGTCTTCATCCCCTTCTTCTTCTTGCTCTTCTTCCCTCTGCGCTGAGGCCCCTTCACTGGTTTCAGATCTCCTGACCCCAGAGGCAGCAATGGCACCACTGCCACTAGGGCCCACCTTTTTCCCCCCAGGCATCCCAAACTCTTCAGAAAAAAAAAATGTTTCCAGAAAAGGAAAATTAGGCAGCTCACAGGAAACTACCGACTGAATTGACTCACTCACTGCCAGAGAGACAACACATCACCCACCAGAGTGCAGGGCCCCTTTAAGAAATCAGGGTGTGGTTCATTTATAATAAAACAATAATTTTTAAAAAAGATAGAATCAGTGCAGTATCAGGGTACACTCCAGGGCAGAAAGGTTCTTGGTTGTCTGGGATCAACCTTGCAGTAATACTTGGATTTGTTGAAAAGAAAACAGAAGCGGCTAAAAAAAACATAGCCTAAGAGGCCTGCACACAAACACAGACAATCTGTACAGCCCAAAGCTCTCTGGAAGAACAATGACACAAGCCTGGGGTTAAAGAAAAGTCTAACGGACCAGAAGCCTGACAGCTCAGATCAGCTTCAAAAGGACAGGGCAAGTCAGTGCGCACTGACTTAGTGCCCCTCAGTTCCAGCTTCTGGAAGAACAAATTCCTCCACAAGGCACACAAGACGACATTAGTCCGAGGGACCAAGGCTCTCATGGACCAGTCGGCTTCAGGAACACACTATCTGCTGGCAGCTTTTTCCGAGGGAGACGGGACTGGGCGGAGGGGGGAGGTGAGAGGGAGGGCCGAGAGATGGGGGGAGAGTGGGGGGGACTGGCTATTTCCCTCTGGGGATGGATAGCAAAGAGAGGATATACGGCTGTACCGTACAGGGAAGTGGGCACCACAAGGGGCGAGGGACGGGCAAACACACATCCCACCCGGTCCAACTACCTTTACAAAGTGGTCTTTGTCTCCGGTACCACCGCTCGCTGCCTCTTCACCCCTCCCAAGACAGCAACAAAACCCGCAGCGGTGGGAATTATAATTTTTTTTTTTTAAGAGGAAGGAGGGAAGTAATGGGGGAGGGCGATAGGGCAGAGAAGGAGATAAGGCAATATAAAGAAGACCCTTCTTGTTTCCACCCTTCCTCTGCTAGCGGGAGATTGGTGACTTCACAGTGCCAGGCTCCCCCACCGATGCCATTCCAGAGCTTCCCCTATACAAGTCCCTTGCCCCAACTCAACTGGTAGGGCTTAAGCAGCGTGAAAGGGGCCAGACTGAGCGCCCAGCTGAGGTCACCAAACTCCGAGCTGCGGCCACTGGGGCGCCGCCCGGGACTGGATGCAGCATGGGAGGCGGCGGGAGGCGATGCCCGCGGTCACCGGGAGAGTGGAAAGGAGAGGAAAGACAGGGAAGGATGCTTCGGGTGCAGGGCAGGGTGGCGGACGCGCAGGAGGGGCTCAGGCTCCTACTTGCTGGGCAAAGGGGTGGAGAGAGAAGGACAGAGGGGAAGAAGGAGGATGGGGGTAGGGTTGCAAAGAGAGACTCAGGCTCCAGCTGCAGCAGCCAGCGGATGTTGCCAGAGGCGAGCCACAAAGCCCCGGGAGGGAGCGACGCTGCTCCCGGGTCCCTGGCAGTCCATGGGGTGCAGCGGAAGGGGATGGGAGCTCATATGCTCATTGCGTCCTCTATGGCCTGAATGCTGCTGCCACTGCCACTGCCGTCGCCGCCTCTGGGAACAAGGGCAAAGCTGCCGCGGCGTACCCCAGCTGCTCCACCCCCCCCACCCCCCTACAGACTCCAGACTCCGCCCGGTGTCTCTGTCTCCAGCCCTGGCACTCCGCGCGCATGCGTTCCCTGTCCCCCCCTTTAAAGGGCCAGTAGACTCCCCCACTCTGGCCCCCTTCAGCCTCAAAGTTGTTTCGGAGCAGCAGATGCTTCCCTTTTCTTTTACCACCCACGCCCTGACGCTGCAGATCTGGGAATTTACCTGGGACTTCCAGACAAAGCAGAGGAGGAAGTTGGCCACGTACAATACCAAGTGGGAAGAATGAGCAGAGCATCTTGGTGTTATAAGGCGGTTAGGCTAGTCATCTTTTTATGGATGAGGAAACTGAGGCCCAGAGAAGCCACGTGACTTACTCGCAGTCAAATAACTAGTTAATGACAGAACTGGGACTGGAATTTAGATTTTCTTACTCCCCAGAGGCTCTTCTTTACCAGAGCCGAGCCATATAAGAGATAAGAATTTTTTTTTGTTGTTCAGTCCCATCCAACTCCTCGGAACCCCATTTCCTTCTCCAGCTTATTTTCCAAATGAGGAACTGAGGTAAACAATGTTAAGTGAATTACCCAGGGTTACACAGCTGTTACACAGTGTTTGAGGTCATATTTGAACTCAGGAAGATGAGTCTTTCAGACTCGAGACCAGACACTCTGCTCATTGCACCATCTAGCAGCTCAAAATTCGAGTCCCACTTCTATTATCAACTGTATGAGCTTGAGTAAGTCACTTGGTTTCTCTGGGTCACAGTTTTCTCATCCACAAAAAGTGGATGACTTCTAAGGATCTTTCCTGCTCTAACATTCTGAATGACGGAAGGGTCAGTGGCTGTAAATAGTAACAGATCTAGCACTCCTCCCTCTTCTGCTTTCTACAACTGACACTCAGAATTGAGGGGTTAAATGGTAACCCTTGGTAACTCATGCCCTAGAGGGAGTCAATCAGTCAATAAATATTTATTCAGTGCCTACTAAATGTCAGGAACTGTGCTAAATCCTGGGAATGCACAAAGAGGCAAGGCAGTCCCTTCAAGGAGCTTATAATCCAATGGGGACACAGCATGCCATATACAAAGCTAGCTATGTACAGGATAAATAGGAGATAATACAGAGAAGGCACTGAAATTAGGAGGGTTTGGGCAAGTTTCCTGCTGAATGTGGATTTCAGTTGGGACTTAAAGGAAGCCTGGGTGGTAAGCAGTCAGAGAGGACGAGGGAGAGTGTTTCAGCCATGGGGGACAGCCAAGAAAATGCCTGGAGTCTAGAGACTGTGTGTCTTGTTGGTGGACTGTCCAGGAGGCCAATATCACCAGATTGAAAAGCACAAGACTAGAAAGGTAGAAGGGACCTAGGTTATGAAGGGTTTTGATTGCCAATGAGAACATTTTGTATTTGATTCTGGAGGCAATAGGGAACCACTGGAATTTATTGAATAGGCAGGTGATTGACTGCTGAAGGCACCTACCTATGGATTACCTTTCAGATCCAGTCCCCTAGTATCCCTTCTCCCAGGGAAACTCATCTGGAGGGTCCAGCAAGATCAGTCAAGGCCAAAGGAATGAGGCACATGAGGACAGTGCCCTAGCCTGCCTCCTACATGGTTATGACTTTTCAGAAAGGCATCCTTTAGGAACTCAGCTTTAATATATGTGTGTCTGTTGGCAAGGTGACTTGAACTCTTGAGTTCTTCGAACAGTAGGTATGGGAGGACACTGGGGGGATGTGAGAAGGGAGATCAGCCACAATAACTGTTGCATCTCCTGGTTTTGCAGAGATAATGCATTGAGATTAAACACTGGATAGAAGGGTATTTTCTGAAACCAAATCTCTAGGAATTGGATGACAGGAAACATGACTTGTTTAAATTCCGTAAGAGATGTGTGTATGTGTGTGTGTGTGTGTGTGTGTGTGTGTGTGTGTGTAGGTGTGTGTGTATATATTTTAAAGAACTATATTTTTGATACCATTCTAGTTTCTACCAAGCTTAGAGTAGAGGAGAGAACTCTGCTTCCGATCTGTAAAATGAGGGGTCTACTCTAGACTGTATGATTTTCTTCTAGCTTGAAAGACAAATGTGAAACTAAGTATCTTAAGGAATCTGACAGGATATACTAGATAATTCCTGAAGGGGACTCTGAGTATATATGTATTTTAAAGAACTATATTTTTGACACTATTCTAGTTTTAAAGAACTTTATTTTTTAAAGAACTGTATTTTTTGACACCATTCTAGTTTCTACCAACCTTAGAATAGAAAAGAAAACTCTGTTTCTGATCAGTAAAAGGAGGTGTCTAGACCAGGGATGGAGAACCTGGGTCCTCAAGGCCACATGTGGCCCTCTAGGTCCTCAAGTTGTCCAAACTTCACAGAACAAATCCTGTTAATAAAAGGATTTGTTCTGTAACACTTAGACTCAGTCAAATGGCCACATGTAAGGACCTAGAGAGCCACAAGTGGCCTCAAGGCCAAAGGTTACTCACCACAGGTCTAGACTGTATGACTTTCTTCTAGCTTGAAAGAGCAATGTGAAACTAAGTATCTTAAGGAATTTGACAGTATATACTGGATACTTCTGGGGAGGGGGGGGCTGCTCTACCTGAGGAGTGTGTGTGTGTCTGTGTGTGTGTTACAGAATCATTATGAAGGTTTCAAAGGACTCTAACCATTAAGGAACTGAGGAGTACTGTCTACTTTACTCCCCAGGGTTTGACTATTATAAGAAAAGTCATTTTAGGTCTTGGCAGAATTTTGTAGGATGGTACTTGGAATGGCTCAAGTTGTCTCTGAAAGACATAAAGTTTCTATCAGATCCAAGAAGGAGCCGAAGTACAATTTCACAATTGGCTGTGGAAAGACACCCAGTCGTCTGTCTCCTAGTCCAGTGTTCTTTCTACCACACCATGCTAAACTCTTGAGGCATTTTGTTCACATTAGTGAACAAAAGCTTGCAGTGACAAGGGGAAAGAAGGAATAATTTTCTTGAAAGCCATCCTTCAGCATGAAGATAGCATAAACTATATGTGCAGAAAGGTATTGTTTAATTTTGTGGGAGCAATGGAGTGACTGCCCTCTCTTTGGTGGGTCCTAATATGGCATCTCTCTTGGAGTCAATACTATGGAGAGCACACTATAGTCAATTCAGTTCAACAACAAATTTTCATTAGATCAGAGGTGTCAAACACACAGCCCTAGAGCCTGCAACACTTCTGAGTGTGGCCTAACCAAATTAAAATATATTTGGGAAGTATTTAACAAAATAATTAAAAATACAATAGCATATATATATTATGTTAATATGTGGTTTTCTAAGTCAATATGCTGCCAATAGGGATCCTTATGTATGGTTTAATGGTCCCTGTTTCTATTTGAGTTTGATACTACTGCATTAAATATCTACTGTGTTCCAGGTAGGGACATAATGTTGTAGGCACTGTGGATACAAAGACAAAAATGAAACAATCCCTTCCCTCAGAGAGCTTACATTCTAATGGAGGGATACAATATGCACACTGCATGGTATAGTAGAGAGTATTGGGTTTAAAGTTAGGGTTTAAATCTCAGTTCTGCTGCTTATGACTTGAGGGATCTTGGGCAATTTAATTCAATTCCTGACCTCAGTTTCCTTATCTGCAAAATGAGGAGATTGGATTAGATAAATTTGGAGGTCAGTTTTGAATCTATGGTTTTATGAAGTATATATCAAGAAATTCCAGGAGAGGGAGAGAACTAACACTTTAGGGGAGGGGGAGAGTCAGGGAAGTACTTGAGTAGAAGAAAACTAGCATCTGAGCTAAAGCTTGGTAGAAGCAGAGAGTTCTAAGAGGTGACAATGGAGTGGAAGGTGTGGAGGAATTGCATTTCAGGCCTGTTTCTCAAGTGCATCACTTACAGGTGGTGGTTAACAGGTGATAAGTTATTCCAATACCTAGGATTGAGTTTCCATCTGAAGTTGTTCATATGCAGGAGCCAGGATCTTGGCTGTTTCAGAAAGGGTCAGGAATCAAATGTGACCCTGACAATCAGCAAGTGTCCATGGCAAATCAAAATTGCATGATTCTCCTCCAGCCACACTGGACTATTTGCTAACCTTGAACTCAGCAATGCATCTCTGTCTGGTGGTCAAATCCCTAGCTTCCTTCACAGGTCAGCTCAAGTATGACGCAAGACCTATCCTGATTCCCCTGGAGTACTATTGTCTTTTACTTTTCACATACTTTATGGATATAAAATTACTTTAATAAATTTTTTTTAATAAAATTACATTACTTTTTATATACTTTATGTACTTTTACATTTATTTGTCGTGGATATATTACTTTTCTCCAACAGAATGTAAACTTAAAAGCAGGAAATATTTTGATTTTGTCTTTTGTCTCCAGTACTTAGCACCATACCTGGCACATAATACACATTTGATAAATGCTAGAATAAAATCAGTGAAACAGGAAGTGAGATGCTAGTATACCAAGAAAAGTGACTTCAATAACCTCATAGAAATTTAGTACTAGAAGGAACCTTAAAGATCATTTAATACATCCTCTTTGTTTTATATATAGTAATACTTCACATTTATATAACACTGAAGTTTGTAAAGCATTTTCTTTAAAACAGTCCTGTGAGGTCAGTGGTACAAATATTATCTCCATTTTTCAGTTGGGAAAACTGAGGTTCTTAGAGATAAACTAATTCACCCATGGTCACGTTGCTAGTAAGTGTCAGAGTAAGAATTCAAACCCAGGTCTTCCAGCCAAGTCTAACTCTACTATACTACATCCCTACTCATGATGGAAAAAATAAGGCCTGGAGAAGCAAAATGATTTCTCTAAAGTCACATAGCAAGTTAATGCCAGAGCTGGGACTACCAGGTCTCCATTAAACTATGATTTAGTTAACAAGCTACAGGGTCTTGGGTAAAACCAAGTTTTACTTGAGGTAAAACAGGTCTATTTTCTTGA